AGGGCCTCAGGAGCTGCTAAGTTTAGTCAGGTGTGTGTGTGTGTGTGTGTGTGTGTGTGTGTATATATATATATATATATATATATAGTAAAAGTCAGGGACAGGTTACAGGCCATGAATTTTTGTTTATTGCCCGTGACCTGGAGCCTGGCCTTTAGCACACAGCTGAGCTGGGCTGCAGCTGTGTGCTAATTGGGCCACATGCGGCCCACAGATTGAGAACCACTGCTTTACACTGAAGTGCTACAGCAGTTCAGCTGCACCACTTTAACATTTTTGGTATAGACCAGGGGTAGGCAACCTATGGCACGTGTGCTGAAGGCGGCACATGAGCTGATTTTCAGTGGCACTCACACTGCCCGGGTCCTGGCCACCGGTCCAGGGGGCTCAGCATTTTAATTTAATTTTAAATTAAGCTTCTTAAACATTTAAGAAAACCTTATTTACTTTACATACAACAATACAGCTCTACCCCGATATAACGCCACCTGATATAACGCTAATTTGGATTTAACGCGGTAAAGCAGCACTCCAGGGGGAGGCACGGGGCTGTGCACTCCGGCGGATCAAAGAAAGTTCGCTATAACACGGTTTCACCTATAACACGGTAAGATTTTTTTGGCTCCCGAGGACAGCGTTCTATCGGGGTAGAGGTATAGTTTGGTTATATATTATAGACTTATAGAAAGAGACCTTCTAAAAATGTTAAAATGTATTAGTGGCACACGAAACCTTAAATTAGAGTGAATAAATGAAGATTCAGCACACCACTTCTGAAAGGTTGCCGGCCCCTGGTATAGACAGTCTGCTTTGGAAATTGCTCCAGTTTCAACAGTTGATGGCCAGCCTCCAGTGTAGTTGTGCCAATGAAAGCCCCAAGAGAAAATAAGGAAAACTAATTTGTACCAGCTTAAGCTCTTTCACAGTGCACATTGGTGCAAATCACAGCTTGTATACAGTTGTGGTTTACACTAGTGCAGCCACATTGTTGGCTGGACACAAGCTGGCAAAATACCAACGTACTTAAGGCCTGAGTGTCATCTTTGACTATAGCAGAAATTGAGGAAGCTCAGCATTCTGTTTCGTTGGAATCTCAATCTTACTCTTCCTAATCTTTCTCAACTGTTAACAGGATTGGAAATTAGTCTGTCTAGCTTTGACTTTCTTCTGATTTGTCTTCATTTCATTAGTTAACTTAGTTCTAGGCAGTATTTGTACTTGGGAAGTTTCTGTGTGTGTGTGTTTGTTTTTAAGCACCTTCCCTATAATCTAGTCAGCTGTAATTTAAGGTAATTGGTGATTTTTTCTTCTAAAACTTTTCAGGAGGTGGAGTGGTTGGATGGAAAAATATGGTCAGGAAATTGCCAGGATATTATATTAATTGTCATTGCCATTCCATTGGCAAATGCCAATTGCCATTTATAGTCTAGAATTAAATCTGATTTAGTTATAGCAAGTATATACAGTAGCATCTGTCATAAAAATAGTTTGTATGACTTTAGCTTACTTTGAGAATAATTTTTTTCAGTCAAAAATTGGAAGATGTAAGATTCTATATCTGTATTTTTTTTTTTTTTTTTTTTTTAGAGAATAACTAAAGGACCTAATCCTGCAGTTACAACATTGAGAATTACCACTGAAGTCAGGAGAAGTTGTAGTGTGAATTGATTGCAGGATTGGATGCTTAAATATTTTTATTTTCCCATTGAGACTCTGTGACTTATTATTTTTGATAGTATTGTCGGTGGTGCTAGGAATCTGGGTTGGGGAGTTGTGGGGGCCAGGCCTCCTTACTAATTTTAGGGGCTGCCTTAGTTGTTTAATTATAAGGCATCAGGGTGCTGTGTCTGGCCCCCTTGTTTCTCACCTGGGTGTTGCTGAAGAAGCACCCTGACACTTGAAATCCAGGATAGAACTACCGTGCTGCACTTCAGAAAACTATGCTTTGGCAACAGTGCTCTGTCATTTTCTAGCAAGGCCACTGACTGGCTGCAAGGCAGTGCTGCCAATGCGGGGAGGCTGGGGACATTGAATCCTCCCCCACACACACCCAAGGCTTTTGCATTTGTTCAGAGTTCAGTGGGAAGGAATGTGTGGCTGGAAGCAGCTGCACTGATTCAGTTTAAAAGTGGTCCAGAGTGGTCTGAAGCATCACTCCAGTTGCAGTGCCACTGAAATTTGACCCATCTGCTCCTTTGAACAGATGGAGGGGTGGCCTGGCCAAGTTTTTGTCAGTGGTGTTGAGACTGAGCACATGGGGTCACAGTACCACTCAAA